TTTCTAGTCAGGGAGGCCAGAAGCCCAACTAAATTCACTTTTACACTAGACAAGGGATGCTGCCCAAAAGGCAGAGAGCTTTGGGAACAGGGACCCTTGTCTGGACCGTGGCTCTCCTGGTCCCATCCCACTTTAACTCTGGCTATGCCTTCTGGCTTGGAGACCACTGTTCAGGACTGCAAGCTTCTGGCTCAGCGTTGGCCATGCCTTTGTGACCTCAGGCTCCAGCCCTTGTGAGACTCCTGCATAGACAGGTGGGGCCACAGATCCCATTTTATGGTCTTTTAGTCTCTGTCAAGCTCTGCCCCTCTTGTGCTCAGAACATACCCCCAATCTTTATCTTCCATCCCCTCAACAGTCTGGAATTCAGGGTGTCCCTAAGCACCCCTTTCAGTAGCCTCCACCTCCCCTTCCCAAGTGCAACTGGTCCACTGGGAAATGAAACATTACAAAATAGAAGCTATTTGGGCTCAAAGAAACGTTCTGCCTGGGGCTTGCCTCACCCAGCAGTGGCATGTTCCAAAGAAAAGAACAAACAGAAAAGGCTCGAGGTACCTTGCATACTCACAGTGTGGGCTCTTGGATTTCCCTCACCCTGATTGCCACTCTGCATCCTCCCTTCATGGTCCAGGGCGTACGCACTGAGCACATGGGGGCCCAAGGGCTCTGGGCCCCCTCAAGAAGAGGGCTATCACCCGAAATGCATAAAACTTTCCACATGTCCATCATCTTAGCGCCCCCCACCTGGCAAAAATAAAAGTCGGTGCCTATGGTCCAGGTTCAGCCCCCAAGTTCCTCCATCAGAGACTCCCTCCTCTGTAGCTCCTACAGCTAGACTCCTTTTTCTGGTCTGAGGCTTGGACTTATAAAAGGTATTCCAGGTCACCTGACCCTCCACTTCTGGCCTCTGGGCCATCAGGCGATGTCTGCACCTGGACTCGAAAGCCATCTTGTTTCAGGTTTCTCTGCCTGTGAGTTTGACTCCAGCAACATACAGAAAGCGCAAGTGAAATAAAGGAGAAGACAAGGAGAGAGGTGGTGGGGAGAGGATAGGGACAAAAGGAAAAAAAAACCCAAGAGAAGGAACACTACGAAGTGAAGGGATGAACTGGCAGAGTTAGGGAGGATCAGGCACCTCTAGGGTCCTTCCCGCTCTAGTAACAGGGTAGGGGCCCCATTACTGGGTCTCCCAGGTGAAGCCAAAAAGTTTTAAACTCCATGTAAAAATGAGTACAATTTCAGGATCATAAACGTTTATTTTTCCTGTTGGGTATATTTATACAAAAGGTGCAAAATCTTTATTCAGAAATGAGAACAATCTGTTTTCCTATGTTGCCTCCGGTCATCATGGATTGGAAAGCAGCTACAACAAAAAAACAAAACAAGTTAATTATTAAGATAATGCCATTTAATATTTGATAGATGGCAATTAAAAAAAATTTAAAACATTGGATAGCTACCATCCTTTAGACCCCCTTTACTTTTTATAACACTATAATAAATTGCCAAGGAAAATTAAACAAAACCTTAATAAAATCGTTTTAACATTGAAATGGCTGATCAGACCTACTTAATATGATGCAGGTTCACTTAAAATTATTCTATACAATACTTTTAGGCTATACCAGGAAGATAGTACACAGAAAACATAAAGGAAGATTTTGAACTTGGAAGACAAGGTTTGTAAAATTGTTTTGTAAATAAATGTGAAAACTTTACATAAAGTTAAAGCTTTGGGTAAACAGAACATGACATTTGACTGCCCAGTTGATCAAGTTTTTTAAAACCAATATGTGACGATAGAGGGTTTAGAAACTGAAGTTAAACACACATTTTTAATGCTAACCCTGTAGGACTAAAACTATATGGACAAAAAAATTGATGGAAATGGTCCTGCCAAAGTTCTCTTCCTTACTCCCTCTTCCACTGTTTCTGAAAGTTGTTAAAGGCATTTGTGCACCTATTCTACCTCTCTTTAAAAATATCATTTTGACATTACTCATTCTTTTCTCTCTCATGCATGTATCTATTACCAGATCCAATACTGTTAAAAAATTCTTACAAATTAACCCATCAATTACAAACAACAGATTTCGTATACATTCTAATGATGAGAAACAAACTGATCTTCAGAAACTTTTAAAACCAGGGTACTGGTCAACTATTAATAAGTTAACCATCCTTAGTAACTTAAATCCTGCCATCCTTAGTATTGAAAATGTCCACCTTTTTAACTGAAAGAAAAATTAATCAAACAGCAAAACACGTATACTAACATCAAGGAGTTTTATTCAAGTATAGAGTAAGTAACACATAACAACACACAAGGAAAAGGAACTAATTTGAAAATGATCTGGAAGACAGAAACTCCTAAGGTGGGGGGGCAGGAACAGACAGATGATGGGACACAACACGACACACAGGTCTTTAGTGTCATTGTATTTCAACAAAGATTATTCTTAGAAAATGATGCCATGTCTTACCACCAGTTTTTTCCAGACCTTGTGTTACAGTCTCTCTGACCTGTCAACAACAACAGGTCTTGTCAGTTTTCCTCAAAAAGATTAAAGCCTTGCTGACAAGGACCATGAAATTGCCATAGCAATTACTCCACAAAGGAAGATAAGGTGGACATAGCCACACTGTCCAGCTACATAGTTCTAAGCCTAGAAGTTATTTAACTCTTTCAGAGATGGAACATTACTTGACTTCCTACAACTTTGTGTCTCTGGATGGCATCAGGAAGGAATTTTGCCCATGGTTGGACTGGTATGGACTGTGGTAGGTTTTGCCTTCCTCTGTAGCAAGGGGCATTACCCTTTTCCTGGTATGTTTTGAGCATATATAAACAACCTGCACAGCAGCATTAGCTACTGTGGTCCCCCTGCTCTGCCTGTGGCAGATTAGATCTTGCTGTGTCAGGATTGACTGCGTAGTTCTGCTGAGAGGTTAGACAATGGATTTGTATAGGATGGCTTGGATAGGAATGATCTTGCCTCAGGGGGTTGGTCTAGATGACCCCTTGAGGCTCTTTCCAGCCCTGTTTCTCTCTGGTTCTATGATAAGCAGGTCAGGTGGTAAACTCATTAGGCCTCATGAAGACCCAGATCGGCACAGGGCATTAACCCACCAACTAAAACCAGAGCACCCAAATTATGTGCTGGTAATGCAGCCCAGTATGCTGTTGCAAAGAAGACTAACAGCATACTAGGCTGCATTAAGAGTGTTACCAGCAGATCAAGGGAAGTGATTATTTCCCTTTATTTGGCACTGGTGAGGTCACACCTGGAATACTGTGTCCAGTTTTGCCCATTGCTACAGAAAGACTGTGGATAAATTGGAAAGAGTCCAGCAGAAGGCAACAAAAATGATTAGGGGCTTGGGCACATGATTTATGAGGAAAGGCTGAGGGAACTGGGTTTATTTAGTCTGGAAAAGAGAAGACTGAGGCAGGATTTAACAGCAGCCTTCAACTACCTGAAGGAGGGGAATCTGAAGAGGATGGAGCCAGACTGTTCTCAGTGGTGGCAGATGACAGAACAAGGAGCAACAGTCTCAATTTGCAGCACGGGAAATTTAGGTTAGATACTAGGAAAAACTCTCATAAGGAGGGTAGTAAGACACTGGAACAGGTTACCCAGAGAGGTGGTGGAATCACCATCCTTGAGGTTTTCAAGACCTAGCTAGACAAAGCCTTGGCTGGGTGATCTAGTTGGGGATGGTCCTGTTTTGAGCAAGGGGTTGGACCAGATGGCCTCCTGAGGTCCCTTCCAATATTCATTTTCTATTACTCTATGTGGGCATTAAACTCAGCGAGTTAGGCAACTTATGGCTAAATACCTCTCAGAATCTAGGCCCTTGCATCAAAAATAAGGAATTAGCTTCTCTATATAAAGGAAGGGCATATACTTTGTTACATGTTTTTCTAGAAGACCAGTTACATTGCTGTAACACACAATCCTAAGTGGATATATTGTCCTTTCTAAATACTGCTACTACAAAAAGAACCTTCAGGTGCATTATCGTACTCCTCTTTGAAACAAGGCACTGCACTCTGTTCATATGGGGGGTATGGGGAGGCTAAGAAGGAGCAAGGGACAAAGAAATTAGACACACATCCCCAAAGCAATGCCATCATCTCTAAAATCTTCCTCCCATAACTGAGAATTACAGATTTAGTTCCTACCTTCAGTTTCCCCTCTTTGATCCATTGACAGAGCTGTAAAACACCAGCTTCGTGCTTGTCCATATAGTTCAACACTAGAAATCTCTCCCTATTAAAACAATTATTGGATGTTCAGACTAAAAGATTACTAGATTACAACAAAATCCAGAAGTAATCACCTATGCTGACAAAAGTCAAGATACTGACAAAATTACTGAAGGCTCAATTTTCCGTTACTTTAAATTTATGTAGGTTACTATTTTAGACCCTGTTTTTGCAGATGTAAATGATAATGCAACATATCAAAACTAATATTATAGTTCTGATGATGTGGATCTAGTTGGTCATCATATATTCCAGATTAGTGAACAAGCACATATTTAAGAAATGCACAAAAATTACAGCTCTAACTTTTGTTAAATACAATAACACAGGATTCAGCCTCTAGTCATCACCAGCTCTCTCAAAAACCAAAGTAAGTTTCATCAATGCTCAGTCACTGCAATGATCTGTCTTTTAAAAGTCCTTAAGGGTTGTAAAAATATATGGCCCATCCTTGAAGGAAAAAATCATTTTTTATACAATTGGATTATTTTTCAGGCCCCGGTTCCTCCACTCATAAAGAGCCAAAGCATAAGCTGCATAGAGATTACTGAGCAGCTCAGAAAACCATTCCCTTAACTGCTCAGTATGCTCATCATTTGCAAAGAACAAATTCTGTTCCAAATGGACTGTTATCAGTTAAAAGGAATTAGGCAAAACCTATATTGCTAAGTATTGTGCACGTTCCCAGATCTGATACAGTAGCTTTTCTGCGAAACAAGCTTTGAAACTTACTGTACCTGTAATACAACTTTCTGCCTCTATTACAGGAATCCCCAGTATGGCCAAGTACATGCTTACTACCACCAGTATTACTCTATAGACAGAGTGGATCATAAGTAAAGCTTGCTTCTTTTTAAATTTCTATAGCGGAAAGTTTGAGGAAAACATATGAATCAGGGATTGAACACAATTTTAGTTGTCATATTACCTACCGTGAGCAAAGGGATGTAGATAGCACCTGGTGAAGTGAGCTTCAGCTCATGAAACCTGTTCTATATGTTTACTTTAGTTAGTCTACAAGGTGCAAATCTAGCCTACCTTATTATCTACCATAAACTAGTGGCTACTTTAGAGTCATCTGAATCAGGCTCATAGTCTATTTGCCTGGACGAGACAAAAAAAAAAAAAAAAATCACTGCCAAATACAACTGTAAGCTTTGGGTTTCACACTCTAATATACAGTGTATATTTCTGGGGTTCATTCATGTGTGAAATATTGCTAGAAATGTGGGGATTTGGTGGCTAAAATGTCAATTAAAAGATCCAAAGTGGTCCAAGACGACTGAAAAAATGTTAGTGACCTATCACATTAGTCATCTGTTCTGAATTGTCACAACACAGATTGTTCTTTGGGATCAGGTAGGCATATTCAACTTGGCCAAACTTCTGAGACTGCAGAATAGAGACAGGGAAAATACTGAAAACTGCCAGGTTTTAAATCACTGCAGCTTTATGTTATGTAGGCCTGCTGAGAGTCCATGTCAATCGACCTTCAGTAACCCTTTACCTTTATGTATTTGCCACATTTGATATTCCCTTCTCCTAAGGGAAAAGTTAGTATTAAGAAGGATTACATAAATACAAAAGATGCAGTGGTTGAAGTACTTCACATTCCTGCCCTCATACACAATTACTCTCAGGGAAAAAAAACCCACCACTTATCTGAGCATTTGAAAAGAAAACCATGGTAACACATTCCTTCGTAGTAGAGAATCTGACAGAAATCCAAGGAATAAAATCAACTGACCAGAGATGAGGCATATGCCAGTTGAGTTGCTCTTAAATTATACCGCAAAAATACTGCAATTCTCCATGTTCTTTTTATCCATGTAACGGGCTCGTCAGCATGTTTTTATGATGCTACAGACATATCAAACATTGTAAACTACAAAAATCTAAATCCTCCTCCCTTTCCCAGTGATCCAAACAAAATTGTCAGAAGCATCTCCTCACATCAAATACAGAAATAATGGAAAACACTGAATATGAATTCTCTGTTTGATCTACCCTGAAGATGATGACAGAGGCTGAGGAAGGAGAAATATACCTTGTGATATTCCTTGCTTTCTTTATTTCTTCTATTGCAGGAGCCAGTGGAGGAGGATAAATCATAGGTTTATTATACTGGGAAATCTGTCCACAGAGGATGATATGGCTGTTCTGATTCATCTGTTTAAAACACCACAGAATTAAAAATACATCTTCTTTGGCCTCCACAAAGGTATACAACGTTTCCAGAGGTACACTAAAATACATGTATGGTTCCAAGCCAGTTGCATTAGTAAAGAGAATTCAAAGAGAACTGTGTACAAGTGGTCACTTCAAACTGTAATGCCATGCAAGTAATTTAAAAACAGAGCAGGAATAAAACTACTGCACACACACAGCTGAACAAGATGTTTACTGGGAAACATAAAATAGCAATCTCTCATGCTTATTATTAGGAAGATGTTTACTGTGAATTTAACAGCATGAATGATCAGTTTTGAAATACAAAATAAAAGGCAGCCCTGAGTATATCTGCTCTGCAATCTGTTCCACAATTACTAAGTGCAAATTTTCAACTTCATTCTTTTAATCTGCTGAGTGGAAGTTAAGCAGTTTCAATTCAGTCAGCTCCCCACTCTGGAAAAAGATATGAGGTCCCCTTCACTTACTCCACTGAAAGCCATTGTACACTGTATCAGTCACAGACACCTAGCAATATATGTAATATGGAGTGTGGGGTCAGCATGCATCAGGAGTGATTTAGCAGTTATTAGCTTTCTTTCTTTTACTAATTCCAGACTAAATCTAGCAGTGTCGGATTATGCTCTGAAAGATTCTTCTGCTAAAGGTTGAATAAAACAATGACGATTGGTTTCCTCCACCCTTGGAGACCTAACTAATATTTCTGAGTAACAAAAAAAATTACCTACCACTTCAAGCTGGGTAAATCTTACTCAGGATTATTTCTAATAAAAGGTTTTCCTGGTAAAGTGAACCAATTCCTTCCCTTACACAAGTATTGACAAGAGGCCCTGCTTTCTATCATCCCCATCTGTAAGCCTCATAATGCTGCTGAAGAGGACGGGTAAAGAACTAAGTCCAGCAATGCTGCCCTTAAATCAGCCAGAGAGGACCAAGACTGAAAAAAAAGTAACCATCTTATCAGATACAGATTGTTTCTAACGCGTCCCTGATCTTTGCTGGCTAAGGCAGCAAGACACCAAATGTAAAAATAAGGCTCAAGACTCCTGGATCACACTGCAAAATTTCTTTTCATAGGGCAATAAACCAAACCAGTGTGATAGGCTTTTATTTCAGAAGTTTGGACCAATTTGACTTGGAATCACATTCAGCATTTCAGGAAAATGGGAAGTAATAAGGTTGTTCTAGCCTTTGGAAGTGAATTGAGTCTGGTTTAAAATACAGTATTATTCCAAACAGCACATAAAAGACTTTGCTCACAGGGAGGAATAAACAAGATAGCTGGTACAATCACCTGACTGATAACTGCATCACTGATGTCTCCACCAACATTGTCAAAGTACACATCCACGCCAGCTGGGCACAGGTCCCGCAGCTGCTCTGCCACATTTCCCTTCTTGTAGTTGATGGCAGCATCAAACCCCATTTCTGAGACCAAAATGGAGCACTTCTCATCTGTACCTGCAATTCCCACCACTCTGGAGCAGCCCTCTAGGCGACCAATCTTCAGGAACACAATAAACAAAACAGGTCATCCACTATCATCAACAATTTAACCAGAATTCCAGGCACAGGTACTGAAAGAGCAGAATGCAATGTAAATTGCAAAATGACAAACATCATTTCCTTTTTACCTGACCAGCCAAAGAACCACAGGCACCAGCAGCTCCACTAACAACGATCGTCTGATTGGCACCTGGAATCACATGTCCTTTCTCTCTTATTCCTAGTAAGGCTGTTAACCCAGTAATACCAGCAGCACCAAGAAAGTGAGAGAGGTGTCCATCTACGAGTTGTGGATTCAGCTAAGGAAAAACAAAAGAATTTAGGGCTTATTTTGTTGTCTGACTGATCTTAGGATGGCCATATTTATAAATCAACAAATACACAATAACTTAGGGTCTTTAATTTAGATAAAAGTAAAAGTTAGTTTGGATGAAATACAGATGTGACTATTGCCTTAACTACTTATAATGCTTTGATAACAAGGTTATAAAACTTGGACCTCAATTATTTTTGTTGCAAAAGGTGTTTAATAAAGTCATTTATACCAAGCTTAAGGAAACTTAGCAACCACAAGGTAAGAAGTAAAATTACACCAGTGGCAGAAAGCAGACAGACAAATGGTTTTTCAGGATTATTGACAATTTTCTATTTCTGTGCTAACTTGAAGGATGACATAGAAAGGCTTTCAAATCTTGAGGCTGGGGTCAATGGCATGAACAACGCTAAAACAAAAAAGTGTAGGTAGAACACACCACTTCAAAACTACAGTAGTCTTCTGTTTAGAGTTTGAATACTATATGTTGTATGCGTACTGGCCTCAAGTTATAGCTACTACAAAAAACAAGAGTTCTTACTTTCTGGGAGTAAGATTTCAAGTACAGGGTTAATGGATTAAAACATTTTGTATTAAAGGGAGAAAACATTAAATCAAGAATATGTTTTTCTTAGGTGGCAGGAGATCTACCTGAAATTTGAATGATTAACTGTCAGATTTTAACAGTTTTAGAAATGCACTTAACCAATTCATCAGCATGAGAATGTCTAGTGACAGTGAAAGGAATTTATTTTTATTTTTGCTAGAAAGGAAAAATTAAAGTAGACTTTGCATGCATGATTTGATCTGTCTTGTAGGATACTGGTTATTTTATCAGCACTGCTTTGTCCTTAATTAAGGAGATAAGAGTTAACTGTTATATAAAAAAAAGCAAGAGTTTTTGGGTTTTTTTAAAAGAAAAACTATATCTATTATTGTTAACTGAATTTTCTATAATTCATTATATTACCTTTTGGAGCAGACTTCCATCTAAAATGGCTTTTGTCTGCCAGGGCCAGTTGAATGAAGTTACAAAATCTCCTTTAACAAGGTGTGTATGTTTGCTATCCTCCACAATACCAATGCCCCCACCATCAGCCACCTCAGAGAGCTGCCAAGCCTGGAGATATTCAGCATCTGTGTCTTCATTCATACGACAGCGCTGAAAAGCAAGGCTTTAATGAAGGCTTCTTGTAGAATAAAATGCAGGAGCTTCATTTTATGTTGAATAAACCTTGGGTGATGTGCATTTAAAAAGATATAAAACAAAATTTTCCAGCAAATCTTTCAGTGAAGACACTGCATTCAACTTCTTTTATTAAATTTTTATTTCTCTTTTCATGTGTTCATTTAGGCACAAAGGGAGGGCTGTTTAATTTTTCTGCAACAATAGCTGTCATAAATGCACACCTGGTCAACTCATTTTTCACAGTTTTTGTTCATGGCTGACTCCATTTCTAGCTTATTAGAATCCCCCAGATCCTTTCTGGCAGTACAGCCTCCTTTTTTTTGTATAACTACATTTGATTTCTCCTCCCTTAGTGTAGTACTTTGCACTTCTTTTTATTGAATTTCCTCTTCTGGAGTTGACCATTATCAATTTTTTACACCATTTTATATTGTTCTTAGTTTGTTTCTGACATTGCCTTGTGGGACAAGGTCAAAAGGCTTGCTAAAGTCAAGATAAATTGTTATCTATTGCTTCCCTCTACTGAGACTGCAGTGCTGCTGCTGCACCCTGCTTTGGCTCTGCAGCACATGAGCACTGAACTCTTGAGTTCACTGGCTTGTCAGCCCATCTTCTGCCAGAGCTGCTGCTTTGACGTGACCCCAGAACCTGCCACCGCTGGCAAATTCTGCATCGGCAAGGGACAGGTGGGGTGAACAGCAGTGGTGTCTCTCCATGGACTCCTTGAGCCATGCCAAAGTAATGGTTCCAGAAAAAGCCACACTAACGAGCTCAGAGAACTCACCATGTATACACCACACACACAAAAGGGGGAAATGACCACATTCCTCTGTTCCCCTTTGGTGGATCTGCCCATGCTTCCCCTTTATCCACCTTTCCAGTTATCCTCTTAAAGAAGGGCATGAAAAGATACTTGGCAAGGAACAAAGGGTACTCTTCTACTACAAAGGTCTGAAAACAATGCTTTTACACAGTCCCTACTCCTGCCGTTTCATGGAATAAGAACCCAGGACACATACATATCCAAATATGGGTCTTCCAGGTAATAGTGCAGACCATTACTAATAGTCCATCAAGCTAGGTCCCTAAAATGCTTGGTTTACAGTGTTACAGATTTAGTTTATCTGAAATGTGAGATTTTAGTGTTACTATCTGTATCTGACTTCCTAAATCTTCATTTTGTGAAAATGTTTGGGCCATGCAAGTTCTGTTACCTCATTAGACCTTAAATTTAAAGTATGTCTGTCTCTCTTCTTTTGAAATGAACACTGAAAATGGATATGGAGTCACAGGCGGCTGCTGAAACAGAAACTGGAAAAATGTCACACAGGAACATCCTCTCTTTCTCCTACCTTCTCTACCACCCCTTCCTCCCACATAGTTCTTGATCTAACTCTTCTGTGTTTCAGTTGGATAAGTGATGGTGGTACTGTTCCTATTATGTATAGTACAGATAGAAGGGTCAATCTCAAGTTAATATCACTGGCCTGATATCCTAGGGTTGGTAGTTCTCAAACTTTTTAGACTCAAGGCAACCCTCAGAAAATGCCAACTACCAATTACACAATATTATATAGGGGCACTGGCAGATTTGGTTGAAAGCATGACAGTCTTGCTGGACATGTCCTCCTGAAGTATTTTAATTCCTCATGAAATATTTTCCACTTTTTGCTCCTTTAAGCCATCCAAGGTAGGAGAGATTCTGGTCTACTTAAGTAAATACAGCTACCGATTTTTTTAAGTTAAAGACACATTAACTTTATGCGAAGTGGTGCTCGCTCCTACTCTGGGGGTCTTTAAGAGGAGGCTAGATAAACACCTTGCTGAGCTTGTTTGACCCCAGTACTTTTTCCTGCCACTGCAGGGTTGGACTTGTTGATCTGCTCAGGTCTCTTCCAACCCTACCAACTATGAAACTATGCCATTTATGGAAATGGGGGATTTCTGATTTGTGTTGGCTGATTGTTGCCGCCCTTCCACTGCATCAGTGGAGATGGCTTTTTCCTCCCTCTCAAGAGGAAAGTATTCATCCTATCTGGCATTCAGCTTAAAAACAAAAACAAAGGCAAAATTATCACAAAACCAAGCCAGACACAAAGGGCAGAGTTCTACTTCACTTTACATGCCCAGATGGTACTTTTCCAAGTAAGCAGCATTTTTGGCATTTAAGCGTACTTTATGGTTTCATTATTTGTGCAGTGTGAATGCATGCATCTATACAGCTACTGAGCATGTATGGTAGGCTATACACTGACCAGGAAGGGACACAGTTACATACATCTGTAGGCTAAGTATACATTAAATCACAGAATTCTACATAGCAACAGTGCATGGCTAGTACGCATCTGACAGAAGAGAACCCTCTTGTGGTTTTATCTCAGCACCTGAGAGGGTAAGGCTCCTACCCAGGAAGCAGGTGTTTGAGCCTACACCTCTCTGACTTCACAGCACTGTGCTCTGACTACCACCCACTGATTAGACTATCCAGGTCCTCCAAGGGAAGTCTGGAACAGACTCCCCCAGAAGTGGTACAGTCACCCACCCTGGCGATCTTCAAAAAGCATCTTGATGCCCACCTTGCTGGGGTCATCTGGCCCCACAGACTTTCCTGCCTCAATGCAGGGGGCTGGACCCAATGATCTTGTAAGGTCCCTTCCGGTGCCTAACATATATGAATCTAATCAATACAGAAGCTGGGTTTCCTGTTTCCTAAGCAAGCAGTCTAATCAATTAACTGTGGGCCTAAAACAGAGGATGGTCATTCTCCTCTTGGGACTTATACTCACATAGCCATGTACCTGCCAAACCAGTGCACAGCCCATTGCTCATGCTCAGTAGTTGTGCGGATGCTTATGTGTTCATGTTGCATAGGAAAGAGCCGCAAAATGTGCATAAATGCCAAACACACCATGTACTGGCTGGAAAACTGCCATTTGGGCACATCAAGTAAAGGAGAGTTCCGCTCAAAAGTTTTCTTCTGGTCCTATAGGCCAAGAGCCGACAATATACGGCTCACGGAGCTGTGGCTTCAGCAGCACTCAGTGACAAGGGGTTATCCCTGCACAGCACTGCAGCCAGCCACCTGGGGCTCTGCCAGAGGGGAGATCTACCTGTGCTGCACCACACTGGGCTGCTTGGGATGCTAGCAGAAGGGGACATTTGCTACATCACATCCTGGCTTTGCAATGTGAAGAAATGGCAGTGGCAGCTGGGTCCTAATGTCTACCAACCTTTGACCCAAGCTGGGTCATTTCAGTCTCCACCCCCTGCCATCAGAAAACACTGCCAAACCCTGCTATACAGCCATATACATATAAGCTGCATGTATACGAATGCCAAATTCTTCCCTGGCATCACTGCATTGAAGTGAAGTAAGTTATGGAGCTATACCAAAGATAAATTTGGGCTTGTGGTTTGTTTAGTTTGCACTAAACATTATGCCTGGCACTGATGTACAATCCTTTTTTGAAGTCTCCAGATTTTGCCTCAAGGTCTGTACCTACCATGTAAGGATCCACAGAAAGGTAAAGGGTTCGAACACATACTTGTCCCTCTTGGATTTTATCTGGTATTGTGACCTCTTCTGTTTGGAAGTTTTCTGGCACTGGCACACCAGTTTTACCTAGATATTTTAAAGGGGAGTAAAAGACAATTTAAATGAGAATTGCAGTTACCTCATTTAAAATTAAGACCTTTATGTTTAATTCCTTTGTATAAAAATAAATGAGAAGCTCATGTCTACTTAGTTTCAAGCATACAAATAGTAGCCACGTTTCAGACCTTGAATAACAGTCTGAAATTTAAAAAGTTTAATTTAGTTTTTCTGTTTCCCCACTAATTTTTTATAAAGGTCTTTTAAAGGATCTCCCTCAGTAAAGAATAAGCTGACTTGCAGCTCAATATCGCAGGCTGAACACCCTAACTTCAATCTATGCTCTAAACCATTTGACCCTTCTGCTTCCAGTAACTAAAGTAGCTTGTTTAAAGATAGTTTCAGTATCTCTATACTGCAAAATACAGCATAGCACAATAGTCTTGGTAGGGAAAGGACGTATATGATCAACGTGCATGTACATTTGAGCTATTCCTCTGAAAGGATAGAGATAAGTGGTTATGATGAAATAAGAATAGTCCAGAGGATGCCACAGACTTATGTCAAGGATCCCAGAATTTGGGGATCCCTTCCAAGCATAGTTCACCCTAGCCTGAGAATTTGGGCCATTATAGACACTAAAAGGATAAGACTATTTATTGGAAAGGGTTGTTTTTCTTTGTGATTACAGAACTTCTGGAAAGTAAGTCATTGCTGCATTAGAAGAACACCCATCTGTAAGTGCTGTCACTCATGCCTGTACCTGTCAGTACTACTTCCACATTGAGTAAAGTATCAAAAATCTCTGAAGTCCTCTTCCATTTGTTCTTTAGCAGTTAAGAACTAGCAAGCACTATTCTAAGACCTGAAATGGCCTGCACAATGATGCAAGTGCATAAGCAAGGAAGCAAACAAAAACAACAGAAAGTGTCCATTTTAAGCCCCCTTCTAAACATGGCAAGAAGCGGGACTTCGAATGTTTGCCAAAAGGAAATGGACAAAAATAGTCCGTAAATCATTTTATTTATAGTCTTGTAAGAGTCAGCGTCAATCGCAAACAACAGAAAGTAAAACATAATGACATTATCAATCTAAAAAGCAATTCTTGCTAGTGTGTCTTTTGGCTATAGACACTGCTTTTTATGAATCACTAATATACACTTGACTCAGGTACATACACACAATTCTTTTTCTTACTGAACATTTTATAATCTATATTACAATAAATACACTTTCATCATAAACCTCCTTTACTACTCCACCTATCTTACTGTGCATATCAAGTTATTTTCTGTCATTTCCCTTCTTATTTTGGCGGATTAGACCACTTAACTATTATACCACTGAAAGAAAATACATACCAGGGCGTGAGCTGAGTACTACTCTTTGTATAATCATCACCACTTTGGCAGGACTTCCACCTCAGTATTTCTGCAAAGCAAAAGCTGTTTGAAATGCATATCAGATTAAAAAAAATTCCTTATCAAGAGACAATCTGGGGATGCAATACTTTGTTATTTAAAACACTGAGGGAAAAAAAATCTATTAAATCCTGTGTATGGGTCCAAAAGGCCATAGCAGTAGAGTGCTTAAGGTATCTACGTTAATTCCAGAAAGCATAAGTTCAGACTGCACTTTGGACTTGGGCTGTGGCTGTTATTAACATATAAAAAGGTACCTGATCTTTCAGTCTTTCCATATTACCACAGCCTCAGGCCCCTCCGCCACCTCTTCTCCCTGTCCCCCATGTTCCCACCCCCACAGCAACCTCTGCTCTACCATTGCTAATTCTT